ATTATGTTATTTTAATTACCGTAATGTTATTATGGTAATTAAATTACCGTAATACTACTTTAAGGTATTATGGTATTTTAATTACCGTAATACTCCTTCAATTTATTACGACATTTAAATCACCGTAATGTTCTTTATGATAAAAAGACTATCGTGAGGGTTATTTTGGTAAAAAAAAAAGTCAAAAATTGTGAGAAAGGGCGTAGGTGAGGTTTTGAAAAATTAGAGGTTTTTTTTTTTCTGATTATAGTAAAATATAGGTATATTAGTGATAATTTTACAAAAAAAAAAAAAAAAAGAAAGCAGAAAACCCAAACAGTGGAAGAACCTGTAGAGGGTGAGTAATAGCACATAGCCTCTTTTTTCTCATACTTAATGCATTGATTTCTTGAGCTCCTTGTAAAGATGAAGAATGAAGAATACATGTTCCTAAAAGACCAACAAGAAAAAGAGTCACCTCATTCTAGGAACTTACAAGTATTAGATGATAAAACAACAACTAAAGGAGATTTGAAAATCAAAATAGAGATCAAAGAAATAAAGATATCAACAAACACAAATGAATCCAGATATCATATTTGATGAACTCTAGAAGAAATCTTTCCTGTAGAGAAAAACATAAGAAAATTCTAACTCTAAAATTGCACAAATGCATACATGAATAACGCACTCTCTCGAGTCTAGAGAGAGAAAGTAGCACAAATACATGGTAAAGAAGAAATGGTTGTACTTGCAGAGTTTATTGACACCAAGAATGGCAAATCTTTGGACATCAAACCACTTCTTGATAGTGAGGAATGGATTTTCCTATTGGTTTCTATTTTTATTTTGTTTTTTTTGTTATTTGTGAGCTATTTTACAGCTAGATCTGTTTAAATGTTTAGGGAATTTTGGGGTTCATGGCCCTTCTTATCAAATAAAGTTAAAGAGTTTGCTATTGCAACTGCTATAAGTTTTCTTGTGATGGATTACATCTCCTGATGGGTTTTGTGGGTTATCTGTGACTCACAGCTGAATCGACGAAGGATTTAGGGCCCCTCTCTCATTGTGGGGTTTTGAGTTTTGACCTCTCCATAACATTGTCTTACATAGAATGGATCTTGTATTGTTTGTTTTGGGTTTTATCGCAATTAACTGTACATCATGGTGGACATGAACTCTTATATAACTGAGATTAGAGGATATGGAGACCCAAGTAGAGCTCACTTTTTTCAAAGTGTTAAACGCCCACGTCTCGATTAAATTTACGAGTACATTTATGGGATACAGTTGGATCAAAATACAATTTATGAGTCCCACGAGTATACTCTTAGGATACAGTTAGATCGAAAAACAATTCATGAGTTGGACGTTTATGAGAGTGTACAAAACCACAACCATAAAAATTATTAATATGTTTTTCGAATTGGTATAATACCATTAAATTTTGATTGAAAATAGACTTCTCTCTCACACTACAAAATTATTTTGCACTCTATATATCACCAGACGGAAGTAGATTTCAGCAACAATGTATATATCCCTCTCACTCAACAAAACATCCAATAGGTAATAACAATTGAAATACTTTGATTTAGTAAAAAATGCCGGAATTTATTTGAATTGATCAATAAATAATTGGGATTGTATACAATGAGACCATTTACCTTTGATACTAGGTGGTCACAATTCCTTACAACCATTTAATGTGAAATTTGATAGCTTGGATGTGTCACAAGGTTCGAGAAAATTCCTTTTGAAGTTTGAGCTTGGTCAATGGAATAATTGCAGCCCCCAATTTCACATCCAATAGTCAAGATTAATGTGACCACCTTGTAATAAATGTAAATGGTCTCATTCTATAATAAATGTAAATGGTCTCATTCTATACTTTCTCCAAATAATTCAAACAAGGCTCCCGAAAAA